TAGTTGTAGTTCTTAACTAAACACAGAGGAGTGTGGACCTCTGTTGGGAACTTAATTGCACGACACAATTACTGGACATAGAATACACACTGTTTTCACACACACATTTAAATATGACTAATATATATGACCCAATATGTATATATGTTCATTTTGATTCATTTCTTATTTTATAGTTAATTTTTAATTTTGATCTTTAATTGTATTAATGAATCTGTGCTGTCCTGTTTTTCAATCTCACCCTGTTGCTGTTAAACTACTGAATTTCCCCACGGGGATTAATAAAGGTCTATCTTATCGTATCTTATCTTATGATAAAACATGTTCAAACAGGTATTCCATTCATGTGCATATGACATGTTAGTCTTGTCCTTTTTTCTTAATGTTTCCACACTGTCTCCTTTGCTGTAACATTGTACATGTCCCCACTGTGGGACAATTAAAGGATGTCTGATTCTAAATCTTAATAAAAAACACATTGAAGGTAAGACAACAAGTAACAGCATGAAATACTATAGCATTGACAGTGTTGTAACTCTCAAGCAGCACGGTAGACAAAAAAGGGGAAGTAAAAACATTATTTATTCGTTATTTTATTAATTAAAGCAAGCACATGTTAGATTGTACCCAGTATATGTTTGTTAGTGCTTTTACAAGTACCAAAGCCATAGTAAGAGTCTACATTAACTGATTGTGAAATATATGTTGCAGTGATAGCGGCCGGCAGAGACTTCACCTACCTGATCGTTGTTCTCATCGGACTGGGAGTGACGGGTAACTACAAGAAGATTTCAGGCAGATTGATCATCTGAAGTTAAATAATTGATATGAGCATTAACATGTGTTCTTTATGTTCCAGGTGGGCTGCTGTATGTGGTCTTCCAGGAGCTGTTTTCCACCTCGAGTCCAAACAAAGTGTACGGGAAAGCCTTCAACATAATCCGGTTAGACCCCGGGGTAAGAGTCGCTGCTGAGGAAAAAATTACCTCTCTCATCTTTACAGTTTAACTACACAACATCTCCTGAAATGGTACCATACATTTTGTTTCTAGATAGATAGTTCATTACTTGTTTGGTGTATCAAACGTCTGTAAATAGAGACACATATCCATACTAGGTTCTCAAAGTTTAAAACATGCCTTGTTTTTCAGTCCAAAAAGCACAAATATCCACTTATCTCCACATTTGAGAAGCTGAAAACAGCATGTTCTGCATGAAACGTACATCATTACATGGAAACACTTTTGACATTTAGTCAATTATGATAATATTTGATCAAATTAATTATTCTTCTGTCGATTTAGACATTAATTGAACAAGCCATCACAGCTCTGTTTGTGTGTTTTGAAATTGAAGCTTGTTGGTGCTTTTGGGGAGATAGGGATACACGTTTCTCTCTACGTGCCTTGATTTTTCAGTCCAAAAACCAAAAACATCCACTTTAATGTGATGTAAACAGCTTGATATCTCCATATTTGAGAGGCGGAAAACAGCTTTTTCTGCATGAAACGTACAAACTTAAATACTTTGACATTTATCATCAACTATCAAAATACTTGAATTATTATTCTGTCGATCTACAAATGGATTCAACAAGTCATCACAGCTATAGTTACACTTTATTTGCAATTTATGTTGTATTGTATGTTACTTTGATTCCAGTGCATATCTTAAAGAAGTCATCTGTTGAAAAGCAAAGTTTAAAAACATGTATGTGTATTGAAATTGTAGGTTGTTGGTGCTTTTGGGGAGCCTATCAAGTGTTACGGAGAGACGACGCGCCGAGGGAGGAGGCAGCAAGTCAGGTGGGAGTTTTATTCTTATTTCTAGTGAATACATTTTTCATTTGTACACATTTCTTTGTACAGTTTAAAATAGATTGTGTTGTTTATAGGTAGGCATCTGTGTGGTGGTACTGCTGAGGTGTTTTTTAACCTGTTTGTGTTTCCACCTCAGTCATCATGAGTTCCTGAAGGACGGAGTGAAGCATCTGAGACTGAAGTTTTACGTCGAGGGATCGGAGCCAGGACGCAAAGGGACGGTGCACACAGAGTCAAGAGAGGTTTGTTTTATTCATTTCTGAAGATGCACCATTTCATTACATGGATTTCCTCCAAATTGAGATACTGTTGTTATTTCACAGAATCCCAAAACTGGAAAATATGAGTTTCGTTACATAATTGTGGAAATGGACACCTACCCGAGACGAACCATCATCGTGGAGGATAACCGATAAGAAAGAAAGAAAGATATGAGTGTCACTGAAAAAGTATTGTGGGAAAATGTGTTTGAGTTATTGGATAAATAGCTTAAGATTAAGTCTAAATGTTATTGACTATTAAAAGGCGTTGTGTTAAAAATCAACAGTTTTGATTGATTTTAACTTTGCCACAACACTGGAGCATTTGGGAAGCACAGTCTCTTTCACAGGAAATGATCATGGACTCTTATGTGTTATTGTTTTGTAAATAATACACATGCTACACATTGTTTTCCTGGATGTCAACCTGTAATTAAAGATGCTTTTTGATTATAATAAAAATTATTTGTCTATTTTATGCACAGGAACAGACATACAAGAAAAAAAGGTATCAGTGCTTTTATTTGGGACAAAATGATGGATGGAGCTTTTCTTCAGCTTTATTGAATTGGGTGTATTTTAATTGGCATTTGAAGTTATTTTAATACAATATTTACCTTTTTTATTCAATTTACATTGTTATTTTAGTCTTTGTGTAATACATAACTATGCGGTTGTCTCTTTAAATGGTAGACTGCAATACACAACAATGATCACTAGATGGAGGCAACGGATCGAGAGGAACTATATAAGGGGTGTGTGTGAAGGGGGTTGTCGACCCTCCGCTTCGCGTCGGGCCGAACCACGCCCCTTAGCTGTGATATAATGAGCATATACCACGCCCTTTCGTGAGCTATTGCTTAAATATATCATTGACTCTAAATTGTAAACAACCATTCTATATGAGTTGGAATAACTGCAAAAGGTATTTTGATGATATAAGGACAACATTAATGAAATACTGTCTTTTGATTTTGTCCCATTTTACAATTTTTTAAGACTGAAATATGCTACCTGCACGAACACTCGGAAACATCGCTATTTTTGATGAAACTGAATAAAACGCCAAATAATTATCAACAGTCGAAAAGGCTGCGACTGATATTTCGTTTGTGGGGAAGAAATTAGGTCCTATTCATATTTATGAATATTTTTAACATTTAAACAGTTACTTTGGCCCAATCTTATACATATTTTATGTAATTTCATGTCACTAACATAGACTAATTCTGATGGAGACAAAATTGTGTGTTATTAGGAGCTGCATTTTCCGGGCATTACTGAAGGCAACACTTTTTATGCACACCCATAGACTGTATAAACACCGCCCACTTACCAAACCAACGGTTGCGATGCGCTAGCTGAAACTCTTCATGAATAACGCGATTATAAGTTGTTTATTCAATGTTAAATTAACGAGTAGTTTGCCAGGTAACTAGTTAGTAACCTTGTGTGTTACCCCAAGAAGATATGTGGATAAAGTGGTTCATTATCACTGTTTGTTTTGATCGCGGAGTGGATACATAGGCTGTTGTTGTTGTGGCCTGCTAACTAGGATAGCTAAGCTAGCATAGCTAAGCTTGAATTAGCTTCAGCTGGTTCCTCTTTGCGTCTCAGAAACGAAGAGGGGGAAATGGCACACCTTCACAGCTAACTCTCAAGAGCTGTCTCTGTAAAGTAAGTACAACATCTTCTGTCTGCTTTTAGCTAAGTTAAGTAGCTAAGTGAACGAATAAGCTGCTTAACTTAACATCTGTTTTAAGTTACCGAATAGTGCTTTAGCTGAGACGATCTGAGCGTGTAGGTTAATACAAGTCGGCTGGAGTTTACTTAAAGCCTTTTATTGTAATTGATTACATTAAGCAAGTTAGTGAACACTGTCTCTTGTTGTTACTGTTTTCAGGACACGTTGTGGTGTTGGCTTGGGATCAGAAAGTTGTCCCCAGCGATGAGAGCCTCTCACCACTGACTGACATCTCAGAGAAATGGAGCTGTACTGGTACATGTGAGTATCAACGATATATAATTCACCAGTCTGTGGTTAAACACTAGCAATCCACTTATGAGCCTTTTCTGTGAATGTTTTACCTTCATGTTAACAAAATATCACAGTATCAGTATCAGTGTGTTATTAGAAATATACAAAATAACTGTTTCCCATGGTTTTCCTGTTGAGTTTTTAACTGGTTATAATTGGATAAAATATTTTAAAACTGATGTGTAAAGTATGTCTCATCACCCCCCCCTCTCCTCTTTCGTCTCCAGAGTTGTCATTGTATTCATCATTATCAAGATATGCTTCTACGTGTGCTGGTATCGATCGAGACAGAGGCAGCTGGCGGCGTACCTGAACAACCCACGCAACGCTCAGATAGTCATCGTCGGAGGAAGGGCTTACCTCCATCAGATGTATGAGAGACAGAGTGTAAGTTCAGACCCCACACACTCACCCACACACTCACCCACACACGTCCTACATTTGAAACATGCAATCTAGCTGTCAACTACTCGAGTGCTTTAGCGCCTCGAGGATGTGTCATTATTAAGGCACAAGGCTAACTAAAAGACTTTTTTGTAACTAAGATGATGTATTTATAGCGGCTGAGAGACTGAAGAATGGTCACTGAGCAAAAAGTGTGCGTTACATAGCGGCAACAATGTGGCATCCTCGTGTGTTTGCGATCCAAATCGTTTTTTTGTATCTGCAGTGTAGGGGTGGGTGTCTGAGTTCAACCCGGGCAGACACATTTCACTTTAAAGGAATTGTTACCCGTCAAAAGACCATTTAATATGTCATAACTCACCCCGTGTAACCTTGAATTCTTGATGAAATGCTGTTTTTCGTGCAAGGAATCCAATAACAATTCATGAATTGAATTAAATAGGGGCAGCGTTTATCAACAGGAAAACATCCGCATAGTGCAAACAAACTTACAAGCAGAAGCATATAGGCTAATTCAAGTTGAAAAGGTAGGATTTCGTTTTTCACACAACATAACATTATATGCAAACAAGAATCCATTTTATTGTACATTATTATTATACATATACATTCTGTGTGAGCTGTAGTTCCTCTTTATCCACTCTAGTTTCATTTGCCACAGAAAGTGTTGGCGTCACAAAGGGAAGTCCTTGACGTCTCTCAGGACTTTTTCCATCCGACTAGATTTCGCTGGAGTCAGAGAAAGTCAAATAGGGTCACGGTTGTGTTACATTTTTGCAGAGGAGCTGTTTGCCCTCTCTCTCTCTGAAGAAAGAGAGAGGGCTTTTGGTTTTCAGTCACTTTCACATTGAGTGCAAAGAGGAGAGGCGTGACATTTAACTTTCAGTGACATACTAAGCGAGTGTAGATGAGTAAATAGGTCGTTCACTTCTGGTTTACATCCTCTAAACGTTCCGTTTGTTTGACCCTGTTATAACAAAGGTCAAAGCTTTGACAGTTGGAAAGTGTTGCTCAACTTTTTTTTTTTTTAAACAAGTTTGTAAAATGTCAACCCAGCGTGTGAGATTTTCTTTGTGCAAATATTCTAAGTGCAGACAGCAAGGCAGGAGAGGACTGATTCACAGAGAGCACTGTGTGCCTCTTCCAAGGTCTTGTTGTTCCCTGAAACACAAGAAGTCTAAATGTCATCCACTGATAAGCGCCATTTATCTTGAGATCTCTTATTATATTTAATTAGCTTGACATTGTGATTAGTCTGTGGATATTTTATCTTCTGTGCAAGAGTCAGTTGATCCCTGGTGACTGTGAGAGTTGTTGTTTTTTTTACTTTTGCTGCCACATGCTTTCTTTTTATTCATATTTTGAAATCCGCTACAAATCACAGGCTTATCGTCTATTGTTCCCCTCGAGCACCAGTTACATGGTTTATCTGATATGTCTAGAATATAAATGCCTTGCTCAACATCCTGTGGGTTTAGACAGCCATCATGATCCTGTCCCCCCCCNNNNGCCTTTCTGCTGTACTGACTCTGAAACACCTGGAAGCAATCTCCATGGTTCATACCCTTCACAAATATGCTCCGTGAATCATCAAACGGATGACTGAGGTGTTTCTAGGGCATTTCTAACTCTCCCACGTAGTTCACTTCTTAGTAACTCCTGCAGAAGTTGCAGCACATTCATCAAGTCATATTTCTAAGGAATGGTTTAAAGGTCACCTATCATGCTATTTTTAGGCAATAGCATAGGTCTCAGATATATATAAGAAACATGTCTATGAAGTGTTTTGCTCAAAATACCAAACGGATCAGCCATTCTAGCCATGCCTCATATCCCTCTATTTTACTTCCTGTTTCTAAAGTGCTGATTTGGGGTATAAAGCTTTAAAAAAAAAAAAAAAAGAGTGATACAATTTAAAAAAGGGGTGCTGAGCTCATGCGGGACCCGGCAGCTACTGTCTAAACTAAATACTGCCGTGATGAAACGCCATATCATGGATTATCAAGGAATATTTCTGAAACAGTATGGAGCTCAAAGGCTTTCTCTCTTGCCGGTTATACCACAAGGTGAGGTCCTTTTTATTTCCTGCTTCTTCACACACATGCTCTCCAGTACAGGTTAGCTCTGAGTGTTAGCGATGCTAATGTAAACATGCACCGACCATATTACGTCCAAAACAGTTGGGCATTGTTTCTGATAACCACTTTCTGATAGGGCCGTGGGTCCACATTTCAGATATTACGTCATATCGGACGCAAATCTGGATCAGCTCCGTTGTGCCCCCGTTTTTAGAGAT